GAGCAAAAAAAAGAGAACGTGTATTGCCGGATGATGGGGAAGGGGGGGCATCTAAAAGAAAATTTACTGTAATAAAATACTAAAAGTCATAACGTAGGGGCGCCCCCCCCCCCCCCCCTCTAACCCTCGCGTTTCATGGTCCTGTGAGTTAAGGTTTTAAGTTAGTTTGTGCTCCTGAGATTGAAGATATTTATGAGATATAATTTTTTTTTTCAACAATTGTCCATTTTTCATGCTTTAATTAACTAGGGTCCAGAAACATAAACTTTTCTTGTAACTTGTGAAGAAAAAAAATCGAGGCTTTTTTGTGAAATTTCGCATATAATTTACCCAAAGTTAAATCAGAGGATTACAATTATTGAAGCTGATCATTTTTTATGGTTGATCTTGAATTTTTTCAAAAATAATAACAAGTGTGGAAATATATTTTATAAATTAAATTTGATAAAACAAATCTAAGAAAGAAGGTATTTTTGCTCTAAAGTCATGGAACTGTTATTCGCTTTCCTTTAATTGGGATAAATCATTTTGTTTTATTAGCTCACTTGAGCCGAAGGCTCAAATGAGATTTTCTGATCAAAATTTGTCCGTTGTTTGTCGTCGTTGTTGTCGTAAACTTTTCACATTTTCATCTTCTTCTCAAGAACCACTGGGCCAATTTTAACCAAATTTGGTACAAAGTATTCTTGGGTGAAGAGGATTCAAGTTTGTTCAAATGAAAGGCCAGGCCTTTTTCCAAATGGAGATAATTATGAATTAGAGAAAAATTAATGGCATTTTTAAAAAAATCTTCTTCTCAAGAACCACTGGGTCAGGAAAGATGAAACTCATGTGGGATCATCCTGAGGTAGTGTTGATTCAAGTTTGTTCAAATCATGACCCCCGGGGCAAGGGTGGGTCCAAAATGGCCGATCAAAGTTTAACATAGGAATATATAGGGAAAATCTTTAAAAATCTTCTTCTCAATAACCACTGGGCCAGGAAAGATGAAACGCATGTAAAATCATCCTCAGGTAGTGTAAATTCAAGTTTGTTCAAATCATGCATGACCCCCGGGGTTAGGGTGGGGCCAAAATGGCCGATCAAAGTTTTACAGAGGGATATATAGAAAAAGAATCTTTAAAAATCTTCTTTTCAAGTACCACTGGCCCAGGAAAGATGAAACACATGTGGAATCATCCTCAGATAGTGTAAAAACATATAGGGAAACCTTTTAAAAGCTTCTTTAAAAGCACTTCAAAGCCAGGCTTCGTTATATTTATAGGGAATCATCCTCAGGTTGTGTAGATTCATGTTTGTTCAAATCATGACCCTCGGGGGGTGTAAAATTCAAGCGCCCCCTCCCCCCAGGGGAAAAAAAAAGATTTTTCAACCTTTTTTTTTTTTAAAAATATTTCATACCTGTTGAGCTTTCAACGACCTCCGGAGGTCATGATTGAAACACATTTAAATCTATACTACCTGAGGACCTGATATAAATATAACTAATTAAAGCTTTGCTATTGTTCAGAAGAAAATTTTTAAATGTTTATCCTTTAAATATCTATGTAAAACTTTGATCCTCTATTTGTTCTTAAACTAATGACCCAGGCAGTAGGGTCATCATTTAAACAAACCAAAATCAACACTTTCTGATGATGCTTCCATACATATCAATATAACTACTAGTAATCTTAGCTTTGCTGTTCTTGAAAGGGTTTTTAAAGTTTTTTTTCATGTGTGGAAAAGAAATTATTGATCCCTATGGGTAGCCTCATCCTAACCCAGTGTCATCATTTCAACAGATTTGAATCTAAGCTATGCGGGGATTCTTCTTTATTAATATGATCAACCACTGCTCTCCTCAGAAGAAGAAATTTCCAGATGTTTTCCTATTTGTTCCTTTATAAAACATTAATTTAACATTAATTGTGGCCTCATCCTAACCCTGGGTTTATCATTTGAACCAATTTAAATGTGCACTATGTAAGTTAAAGTCTTTTGGTCAATGGTTTTTTTAGAAAATAAAATAATAGAAAACAATGATATATCGAAAAATTTAAAACATGTTATGAAAAAAAAAATGTTTTTGTGATGTGATTTTTTTACTTCATAGTATTTTTGCATATCTTCATCAACGAATTGATACACAGGGGTATAAAAGACACATGCCCGTGAAGATGTGTACATAATAGGGAATACTTGAAATTTATTCCCCCTGAAAATATAATCTTTATATAATAAACAATAATTGGTCCAATCTAATTCTGATTAATCCAGAGAATATTACTGTTTGTTGTAAACATTACGGTTCGAACTCAAGTGTCGCCCGTATACAGGTAAGATAAATAAAGCCCTTAATTAATTACATTGAAATAAATTATTTTATTATTTCACATCTCAAAGAAAAATTAATTAAAATGTTGCAGAAATACATTGCAATTTCATAAATTAATATCAAATAACAGACTGCCTCCTTCCTGCCAGTTATAAAAAGAGGTTTATGTAACCGCAAAACTTTACTCTTTTGAAACAAGACGTTTTATTATACTTAAAGTTTTATAACTTACAACTATAAATAGCAGTAGTACAATAAAATAGAAAGACCAATGTCAAGTGTAAGTAAGCTTAACAAATTTCTGTAAATACTTTTTTATTCGAAAGAACTTTTTTTGTGTGTCTACTTGAAGAAATAATTTCTGCGTATAAAAGTATTATTATTATATATGATATAGAAAAAAAAAACACGAACTCCAGAGAAAATTTCTTTTAAGTACAATATCTCTATCTCACTTTTAAATACAAATCATCCATATCTAAAAAATAAGTTGTCACAGAAAATTTGGCGATTAACAGTAATCACAAAAAAATTATGAAAAAAAGATCAATCGACACAAACACTACATATCTCTGAACAGGACACGAAACACAGACGCCGAGAAACTCCAGGGCAGAATCAGATGCTACAGAGAAGTAAATATCCCCTTTTGACCGGGATACCGGTCACATTTGCCGTGAGCCGTATGTTTTTCCCGATAGTATTCCGGAGGGATTGTTAAAAAAAGCCTATAACTTGGTATAATTATGTCTGCCAAAATAATACCCATTCAAAGGTTATATTTGCTAACAATGCCATAAAAAATACAATAGAACTTTCCAAAACATTCCAATATGAAACAGAAGTGACATATTTTATGGTGTCTTTGATTTCAAGTTCACTAGAATATAGCTAGTCGACATATCAATGAGAGTAAATCACTGATTCTCAAAGTATAGTCTCAATTCGCTTTACAAATTGTACCGTGATTTAAGTTATATAATTTTTCTATTAAATTCTATTTCCGGCTGTCATATAAAACCATTGTTGGTTGTTGATTAAAATACAATAATTGTTTGTTGTAACTTGAATGATTATCTTAGGAGAAAATCGCATTTTAAAGCAGAAATCGATATTTCCGTTACTGTCGCCGTTCATCGTTAAGTTTTTATTTTCAACCAAAAAGAACTTTTAAATCATTTACATATCTTTTTCTAAGTAATGTTGTCCTACATTTGAGCATTTGCGTGTCACAAATTAAAAAAAAAATTAATATATTTATCAAATTTTAATGCTATATTTTCTGAATATCACACCCTTCACACATATGCGTGTCAAAAATTAAAAAAAAAATTAATATATTTATCAAATTTTGATGTCGTCGCAAAATTAATACTTTTCTATTTGGAAATTCAAAAGGACTTGAAGGACTGCTAAACTGACTCAATAGGATGAAGTGTCATTTTATAACATCATGAACACCTCTTCTATTGCATGGAACAGTAAAAAAAACACTGTTTATCTGTATTTATTAAAAAAGCCCCTCTTTTCTAATAATCCATTGGTTAAAAAATTCATCGATATTTACGTGTTACTGTAAAATCACATATTTTCTAGAATGAAGAAATTTTAATTTGTTGTGCATATGAAAATTTACATTTCGTTCCTCATACCACGAAAACAACGAAAATTAAACCCCCACGAAAATTAGTGATTTTGCAGTAGTATTTATTCACAAATTAAGTAAGAGAGTTGCACTGTTTCCTATGGGTTTAAATGCCTTACACTCGCGCACTAGAATATGCTTTTAATTAACATTCATTTGGAATAATCAAACAACAGCATTAAAAGTTACGATAAATCTCAGAAAGATATTTACGTTACCCATACTTCAATGGTACTGAAAATTCAATGTACGTTATATGAATGTAGAATGTAAATTGCTCTTTAGAGCACATGTAATATGCAACTGTGATTATTAACAAACTTTTTTAGGGTGGTGGGAGTAACTTTATTTTGTTTTTGAGATTTGGCGATAAAGTTTTCACAAGCAATTAAGCATTTGAAATAATTAACAGTGGATGGGGGGAGGGGGTTATAAATTAATTGATTGGAAAGTGGGAATAAACCATACAGATAGATCATAACTTGAATTATCAATTCAACCCTTTGTCAATAACACAGATAGGAATATTCATGAAATTCAATAATTTGAAATAGCATAATCATTTTCCACTGAATATACTTTTATTTTTGAATGATATCTTTGTGCGATATTTACGTGTTATTTTACAAACTCTTCGTAACCAGGTTAATGACGAAATATTTTACCTTCTAATTTTTTAAATAATGTGCGTTTCTCTGAACAGATTAATAAGAATCAAATAATGAAGAATTTTAGGGATTAATGTCATTATATAGCTCATCTTCAGATTTTATAAAAAAATTTTAAAATAAAAAGAAAATAATTTCATTAAAATGAAAATTGACCCTGTTTTGTCTTTACTAATAATTGAAACAAAGATTTCATATCCCTTTACCTACGTGCTTAAAAGGTTTCATAAATGTTTATAGTTAACAAATTTGATGTGTATTATCTTAATTTTGTATTAAAAACTTTCTTTCGTTTCCAAATGTGGCTTTTCAACATTACGTAAATATCTTGTTTGAAATTTGCCCTACAACCGCATTCATTTCGAAGGAGGTCAACAAAACATAGTATGATGTATGTAAATGAATTTGTGATTTTTAATAACTATACTCTTTCAAGTTTCAAATGACATATATCGTGTCAGATTCAGTTCACAAATTTTTTTGACATTTCCCAAAGTCGATTTGGTACTATAAATTGAGAATCCGTAAAATAGTGATAATTGATAATACATCGTCGATATATCTGAATGTTGAACTGAAGGAAACAGCAAGTGCTTTCTTCTTTTTATGTATTTTTTTCATAAATGCTTTAAATTCTATATGATACTATCCCGCTCATTTTTGCCAGCTATATTCAAAGCTAAACTTTACTTTCATTCCATATTTCAGAAATAATGTGAACGCACGTGGTACTGAGAAACCACTGAATCCATTGTCAGAATAAAAACCCAGCATCACATTGTAGTAAGAGTTCAACGATACTGTCCTGACCATATAACTGTGTTATGGACTCTTATTGTATTTATTGCATAAGTTAACGCAAGTATCATTACTTTATAATGACACTTCGACCGTGCTGTACTGTCCATTTTCAAAGGCTATGTAGAGAGGACTGGTTCCCTCCTTGTCACAAAAATTGATGTCTGCCCCGTTGTTCAACAAAAAAAAATAACCATGCTGTCATGACCATTGAAACCTGCTAGGGACATCGGACAGCCGTTGCCTTTATTGCATAAATTTACATCAGCACCTGAATTAAATAGAAGTTCGATTGTGCTGCAATGTGAGTTTTCACAAGCTATCCAAAGAGAACTATTTCCATCTTTTACACATAAATTAATGTCAACACCGCTGTTCAATAACAGTTGTGCCGTTCTATCATGTCCATTTTGATAAGCTATTTAAAGAGAACTGGCTCAATTTTTTTTTCACATAAATTGATGTCAGCACCGTCGTTCAGTAACAATTATGCCGTGTTATCAAATCTTTTTGACTGAATCCATCACCATAACATAAATTGATATCGGCACCGCTTTTTAGTAGCAATTGAACCGTGCTATCATGTCCATTTTGACAAGCTATAAAAAGAGGACTGGCTCCATTCTTACTACGTAAATTGATGTCGGCACCGTTGTTCATTAACAGTCGTACAGTTCTATCATGTCCCTTAAAACACGCTATGTGAAGAGGACTGAATCCCTCATTATCATATAAATTGATGTCAGCTCCATTGTTCAGTAACAGTTGTACCGTGCTATCATGTCCATTATGACAAGCTATATTAAGAGGACTGACTCCATTCATCTCACATAAATTGATGTCAGCACCGTTGTTCAGTAACAGTTGTACCGTGCTATCATGTCCATTTTGACAAGCTATATAAAGAGGACTGGCTCCATTCTTGTACATAAATTGATGTCGGCACCATTGTTCAGTAACAGTTGTACCGTGTTATCATGTCCATCATGACAAGCTATATAAAGAGGACTGGCTCCATTCGTGTTACATAAACTGATGTCAGCACCGTTGTTCAGTAAAAGTTGTACCGTGCTATCATGTCCATTTTGACAAGCTATATAAAGAGGACTGAATCCATCGTTATCACATAAATTGATGTCGGCACCGTTGTTCAGTAACAGTTGTACCGTGCTATCATGTCCATTTTGACAAGCTATATAAAGAGGACTGAATCCATCGTTATCACATAAATTGATGTCGGCACCGTTGTTCAGTAACAGTTGTACCGTGCTATCATGTCCATTTTGACAAGCTATATTAAGAGGACTGACTCCATTCTTCTCACATAAATTGATGTCGGCACCGTTGTTCAGTAACAGTTGTACCGTGCTATCATGTCCATTTTGACAAGCTATATAAAGAGGACTGGCTCCATTCTTCTTACATAAATTGATGTCGGCACCGTTGTTCAGTAACAGTTGTACCGTGCTATCATGTCCATTTTGACAAGCTATATAAAGAGGACTGTATCCATTCTTATCACATAAATTGATGTCAGCACCGTTGTTCAGTAACAGTTGTACCGTGCTATCATGTCCATTTTGACAAGCTATATAAAGAGGACTGAATCCATCGTTATCACATAAATTGATGTCGGCACCGTTGTTCAGTAACAGTTATACCGTGCTATCATGTCCATTATGACAAGCTATATTAAGAGGACTGGCTCCATTCTTCTCACATCAATTGATGGCGGCACCGTTGTTCAGTAACAGTTGTACCGTGCTATCATGTCCATTTTGACAAGCTATCCTAAGAGGACTGAATCCCTCATTCTCACATAAATTGATGTCGGCACCGTTGTTCAGTAACAGTTGTACCGTGCTATGATGTCCATTTTCACAAGCTATCCAAAGAGGACTGTTACCATTCTTCTTACATAAATTGATGTCGGCACCGTTGTTCAGTAACAGTTGTACCGTGCTATCATGTCCATTTTGACAAGCTATATAAAGAGGACTGGCCCCATTCGTATTACATACATTGATGTCGGCACCGTTGTTCAGTAACAGTTGTACCGTGCTATCATGTCCATTTTGACAAGCTATATAAAGAGGACTGGCTCCATTCTTTTCACATAAATTGATGTCGGCACCGTTGTTCAGTAACAGTTGTACCGTGCTATCATGTCCATTTCGACAAGCTATATAAAGAGGACTGGCTCCATTCGTGCTACATAAATTGATGTCGGCACAGTTGTTCAGTAACAGTTGTACCGTGCTATCATGTCCATTTTGACAAGCTATATAAAGAGGACTGGCTCCATTCTTCTCACATAAATTGATGTCGGCACCGTTGTTCAGTAACAGTTGTACCGTGCTATCATGTCCATTATGACAAGCTATATTAAGAGGACTGACTCCATTCTTCTCACATAAATTGATGTCGGCACCGTTGTTCAGTAACAGTTGTACCGTGCTATCATGTCCATTTTGACAAGCTATATAAAGAGGACTGACTCCATTCTTCTTACATAAATTGATGTCGGCACCGTTGTTCAGTAACAGTTGTACCGTGCTATCATGTCCATTTTGACAAGCTATATAAAGAGGACTGGCTCCATTCTTGGTACATAAATTGATGTCAGCACCGTAGTTCAGTAACAGTTTTACAGTGCTATCATGTCAATTTTGACAAGCTATATCAAGAGGACTGAATCCATCGTTATCACATAAATTGATGTCGGCACCGTTGTTCAGTAACAGTTGTACCGTGCTATCATGTTCATTTTGACAAGCTATATAAAGAGGACTGGCTCCATCATTTATACATAAATTGATGTCGGCACCGTTGTTCAGTAACAGTTGTACCGTGCTATCATGTCCAATATGACAAGCTATGTTAAGAGGACTGACTCCATTCTTCTCAGATAAAATGATGTCGGCACCGTTGTTCAGTAACCGTTGTACCGTGCTATCATGTCCATTTTGACAAGCTACATAAAGAGGACTGGCTCCATTCTTCTCACATAAATTGATGTCGGCACCGTTGTTCAGTAACAGTTGTACCGTGCTATCATGTCCATTTTGACAAGCTATTAAAAGGACTGTACAATATTATAATAAATAATACAACGTGACGTGAAAAACATGTACATATACAGATTGATTCAAGAACATGAAATTATATAACTTTTAGTTTCTACATGTTATAATGAATTTTTCTACATTTTTACGAAAAGTTTGTACAGTTGGTGAGAAACGGATATGCAAAGGTAATTTATTCCATAAATGAACTCCAGTAATGAAAAGAATTTTTAAATTGATTTGTTCGATATTTTGGTAGATGAAGGTCATAGTTCGTTTCAGATCCAAGAACATAATTATTAGAGGAAATAAATTCAAAGGAGTTCTTCAAATATGTTGGTGCCATCATGAAGTGTTTTGTACAGTAATTCATATTTATGAAAATCAATTAACATAAATTGATGTCGGCACCGTTTTTCAAATAGGTAGTACATCATAAGTACATCTGCCCTTTTTTGCCAATTTAAAAACCCTATCTATGCCAGCACCTGGCGCCATTACCCCAAATAGTGACAATAATTCAAAGAAGGCAGAATGTATGCATTATAAAATATTTTTCTCGTGTGTAAGGGAAGAAACTTCTTAATTCATAAAGTATACATTTATAAGTCAAAGATTTACAAACTGAGTCTATGATAATTAAAGCGCAATGAATGGTCAATATGTACTTTTGAAAAGCTTTTCAGATTCAACATTTTCAATTAATTTGTTTGACGCATATAAATTTAGTTCAGTAACAGTTGTCTCTGTTGCTATCCCATGTCATACATTTTGTCTTGTTGGATATTAACACCATTTGATTTTTGGAACACCAATTTTCTTCTGACACAAATTGATGTCGGCATTTTCAATTGTTCACATTTTTATGATATGTTGTACCGTGCTCATCATATCAATATCTGTTCTATTTACATGTAAAGGGAATCATTGATATACAATAAAAATAATAGGGGACCTAAGGGGGCACTCCTGCTGTGACGGGCAAAAAATCAGTATGTACCTATTTTTACACACTGACAATTGAGGTTAAATAAGATTGAAACCATTTAATAGCCATTTGGTCAATGATATGATTGAAGTTTACTTATAAGAATATCATGATTAACCAAATCAAATGATGCTAAAATCGATGAAAGTTATGCCCGTTTCCTTGTTCAGTAACAGTTGTACCGTGCTATCATGTCCATTTTGACAAGCTACATATATTGTGATTTAAATAAGAGATCAAAGAGAGGTAAAGTTACATATCTGATTGGCTATGTGTTTTTCCATTTTGATAATGTTGGAAGAATGGATATCGGTCTGTACATAAATGATGTCGGCGCCGTTTTTCAAAACAGTTGTAACTTTTGCTTGTTTTAAATGCTATCATGTCCATTAGTGATGCAAGTATTTATAAGATGTGTAATAGATTTGCATATAACATTTGCCGAAAGCTTTAGAAGACGATCCAATCAAATCTATACCGGCTGACTTGTTTACATCAAGTTGTATTCAACATATTTAATACTTCAAACTCACTTATATGATTTATACTGAAAACATTTTCTTTCCCTAGTTTAGTTTCTGTAAAACTATTTAATAATTCTGAATCAAAACCTTCTACTTACATATCTGCTAATAATTTACAGGATATTTCAGTAAAGTGTTTGTTAAAAATATCAACAATATCCTGTAAATCTTCGAAATCCGAACCATTTTGTGTTATACGGGTAGGTGTGAATTTTTTTTAATCTGATGCCAGTTGGTTTAAATAACTCCACATTTCTTTAGGACTTGAACTATCTTCAATTGCTGATTTGTAATACTTTGATTTGGGATCTAATAATTGTGTGACTTTATTTCTCCAAAATTTGTAATTTTCTGAATTTCTTTGTACATGGTAAATTAAATGTCTAGCATCATTTATTTCCTGAGTAAGCATTTAGTAATTTCAGTTGTTGACTCTTTTAGTTTTTACTTTGGCAGTTGTTAAGAATATCATTAAATAATTCATAAAATTTACTATCATGTCCATTGTGACAAGCTATCTAAAGAGGACTGATTTTCTCACATAAATTTGATGTTCGGCACTCATTTTCATTGAATTGTTTTAAATCTCGATATTGGAATTTCAGTATGTTTTCCTACCGTATACAATTAGTTTTCCGTGTCAAACATACAGGGTAGTGGTCATAGGGGGTACATATGTTTTCTGGTTTGTTGTATAAAAATGACAGGTACTTGAGCTATTCTAGTAGGAACAGTAACTATCTGTGAAAGTCCAAACTCCTCTAAAGCAGATGCTATTGTGGGGGGTCCATTAGATCAATATTGAAATCACATAAATTGAGTGTCACAGCAGCACCACCTTGTTCAGTAACAGTTGTACCGTGCTATCATGTCCATTTTGCAATAAAATATAGGTTTTGATATAATGTTACTGACTTCTAAATCAGCTCTACGTTTATATGAAATTTCATTTGAAATGTATATTAAGATTCCACCTGCCCTTATAAACGATCTTTTCTTTCAAAGACAAAGCCCTCAATATTCAATTCAGATGTGCTCGGCACATAAACCTAAAATATCTAAAGTTTGTCTGTTTTGTAACAGTTTAATTTGCTATCATGTCCATTGGGGATAACAAGCTATATAAATTTCCGAGGACTGTTTTAACATTCCTTGATTTTTTTGTGTTGTTTGACATATCATTGTTACGTCGAGGACCGTTGTTCTTTAGTAACAGTTGAATACCGTGCTATGACATGTTTGTTTTGACAGTGCTACTTTTAGAATTTGTGATCTTGATTCTTACATTTAACTTGTGGTTCTCTTGTCAATTTAGAATTTGTAGAGTTATAACAGTTATCAGTATTGTCACATAAACATTGAAAGTTATTGCATTCATTACAAATAATGCTACATAAAAAAGTTTTGATGTTTAGTACGGCAACGTTGTTCAGTAACAGTTGTACCGTGCTATCATGTCCATTTTGAATTCAAATCAAGCTATATAAGTCACAGACTGGAAAAACTGGCATCCATTCTTGTTTCCACATTTCCCCGTAAATTGATGTATTAATCCGTCACCGTTGTCTCAGTAACAGTTTCCAATACTGAATGCCCTTTGCCTAATTCACCTTTGTCGCTAAAGAGAGCTCCATACTCATAACAAACATATTTAAGTGGTATTCACATGTCCACATCCCGTTGAAATACATTTGATACGGAGAACGGTGTTTGATGCTGGAGATAACAGCGTCATGTTCAATCATGTCCCGATGAGATGAGGCATCATTTCCCCCAGCTTGGATAATTATGTGCAAGTATTCTGCTAAATTTATTTTGAGAAGCTTAGCTTTGATGTCGGCACCGTTGTTCAGTAACAGTTGTACCGTGCTATCATGTCCATTATAAGACAAGCTATTGGTCATAAAGTATCGGATGGTTCCATCCGTTTCGTGCAGAATCATGTAGACTTTGCGTTCTTTTCCGGTAAAGATGTCGCATTGTTGTTCAGTAACAGTTGTTCACCGTGTACGTCTGTTCCTTGTTTTTCACAACCTTTTGACAAGCTATATTTTTGTCAAGCATTATTGGTTTGTCTGATCCGTTTCTTTTCGACACTTTATTTTTCTTTCAGGTCTTGTAATTCTTTTGCTAAATTATTAATTGCCACAGTTGTAAAGATTGAATTGTACTTGCATGTCCAATTTTGACAACTAGCTACTATACAAAGAGAAGCACTTTTCACTGGTGTTGATGCCATTTGTGGTGTTGATTGTTCAAGAACATTACTAGTATTGTAATGTCCTTACTCTTGATGTCTTGAATGAATTTGTTCAGCTAACAGTTTTTGCTGACGTTGCCTTGATATGTAATTTTCCCACAAGAGTGGCTACAGAATCACAATCAGACTTGAAAATCTGTCCATTTTTTCCTACTTCTTTAATTGTTTTTAATTCTTCTTTCAAATAGTTCAAAATTGTTTCATATTTCTCCACCAGTTATACTGTACAGTAAGATAGTGTGGTATACTCACATCAGTAGCTATCATGTCTCATCAAATGATTGTGTAAGTCCAGAAAATGATTTAAATAAGCTTGAATTAATACTTTGATCCATATATTCATTAGACACAGCCATATATTTTGGCTAGGGAAACTTAACAGAATCACACATGGTAATTTAACAAAGACAACAGGTGAGATCAGAGCTACCCAAAAACACGTCTTATCAGTTCGGCTGCTTATCAGAATCTCCATTATTATCACATAAATTGATGTCGGCACCGTTGTTCAGTAACAGTTGTACCGTGCTATCATGTCCATTTTGACAAGCTATATAAAGAGGACTGGTTCCATTATTATTACATAAATTGATGTCGGCACCGTTGTTCAGTAACAGTTGTACCGTGCTATCATGTCCATTATGACAAGCTACATAAAGAGGACTGAATCCATCGTCATCACATAGATTGATGTCGGCACCGTTGTTCAGTAACAGTTGTACCGTGCTATTATGTCCATTTTGACAAGCTATATAAAGAGGACTGGCTCCATTCTTCTCACATAAATTGATGTCGGCACCGTTGTTCAGTAACAGTTGTACCGTGCTATCATGTCCATTATGACAAGCTATCATGAAGAGGACTGTCCATTCTTTCACATAAATTGATGTCGGCACCGTTGTTCAGTAACAGTTGTACCGTGCTATCATGTCCATTTTGACAAGCTATATAAAGAGGACTGGCTCCATCGTTATCACATAAATTGATGTCGGCACCGTTGTTCAGTAACAGTTGTACCGTGCTATCATGTCCATTTTGACAAGCTATATAAAGAGGACTGGCTCCATTCTTCTCACATAAATTGATGTCGGCACCGTTGTTCAGTAACAGTTGTACCGTGCTATCATGTCCATTTTGACAAGCTATATAAAGAGGACTGGTTCCATCATTATCACATAAATTGATGTCGGCACCGTTGTTCAGTAACAGTTGTACCGTGCTATCATGTCCATTTTGACAAGCTATATAAAGAGGACTGGCTCCATCATTTTCAAATGAATTGATGTCGGCACCGTTGTTCAGTAACAGTTGTACCGTGCTATCATGTCCATTTTGACAAGCTATATAAAGAGGACTGAATCCATCATTATCACATAAATTGATGTCGGCACCGTTGTTCAGTAACAGTTGTACCGTGCTATCATGTCCATTTTGACAAGCTATATAAAGAGGACTGGCTCCATTCTTCTCACATAAATTGATGTCGGCACCGTTGTTCAGTAACAGTTGTACCGTGCTATCATGTCCATTTTGACAAGCTATATAAAGAGGACTGGCTCCATTCTTCTCACATAAATTGATGTCGGCACCGTTGTTCAGTAACAGTTGTACCGTGCTATCATGTCCATTTTGACAAGCTATATAAAGAGGACTGAATCCATCGTTATCACATAAATTGATGTCGGCACCGTTGTTCAGTAACAGTTGTACCGTGCTATCATGTCCATTGTGACAAGCTATATAAAGAGGACTGGCTCCATTTTTATCACATAAATTGATGTCGGCACCGTTGTTCAGTAACAGTTGTACCGTGCTATCATGTCCATTTTGACAAGCTATATAAAGAGGACTGGCTCCATTCTTCTCACATAAATTGATGTCGGCACCGTTGTTCAGTAACAGTTGTACCGTGCTATCATGTCCATTTTGACAAGCTATATAAAGAGGACTGAATCCATTCTTATCACATAAATTGATGTCGGCACCGTTGTTCAGTAACAGTTGTACCGTGCTATCATGTCCATTATGACAAGCTATATTAAGAGGACTGATCCCAACCTTCTTACATAAATTGATGTCGGCACCATTGTTCAGTAACAGTTGTACCGTGCTATCATGTCCATTTTCACAAGCTATATAAAGAGGACTGGTTCCATCATTCGTTTTACATACATTGATGTCGGCACCGTTGTTCAGTAACAGTTGTACCGTGCTATCATGTCCATTTTGACAAGCTATATAAAGAGGACTGGCTCCATTCTTCTCACATAAATTGATGTCGGCACCGTTGTTCAGTAACAGTTGTACCGTGCTATCATGTCCATTTTGACAAGCTACATAAAGAGGACTGGCTCCATTCTTCTCACATAAATTGATGTCGGCACCGTTGTTCAGTAACAGTTGTACCGTGCTATCATGTCCATTTTGACAAGCTATATAAAGAGGACTGGCTCCATTCTTATCACATAAATTGATGTCGGCACCGTTGTTCAGTAACAGTTGTACCGTGCTATCATGTCCATTTTGACAAGCTATATAAAGAGGACTGAATCCATCGTTATCACATAAATTGATGTCGGCACCGTTGTTCAGTAACAGTTGTACCGTGCTATCATGTCCATTTTGACAAGCTATATAAAGAGGACTGGCCCCATTCGCATTACATACATTGATGTCGGCACCGTTGTTCAGTAACCGTTGTACCGTGCTATCATGTCCATTTTGACAAGCTACATAAAGAGGACTGGCTCCATTCTTCTCACATAAATTGATGTCGGCACCGTTGTTCAGTAACAGTTGTACCGTGCTATCATGTCCATTTTGACAAGCTATATAAAGAGGACTGAATCCATCATTATCACATAAATTGATGTCGGCACCGTTGTTCAGTAACAGTTGTACCGTGCTATCATGTCCATTTTGACAAGCTATATAAAGAGGACTGGCTCCATTCTTCTTACATAAATTGATGTCGGCACCGTTGTTCAGTAACAGTTGTACCGTGCTATCATGTCCATTTTGACAAGCTATATAAAGAGGACTGGCTCCATTCTTATTACGTAAATTGTTGTCGGCACCGTTGTTCAGTAACAGTTGTACCGTGCTATCATGTCCATTTTGACAAGCTATATAAAGAGGACTGGCTCCATTCTTCTTACATAAATTGATGTCGGCACCGTTGTTCAGTAACAGTTGTACCGTGCTATCATGTCCATTTTGACAAGCTATATAAAGAGGACTGAATCCATCTTTATCATATAAATTGATGTCGGCACCGTTGTTCAGTAACAGTTGTACCGTGTTATCATGTCCATTATGACAAGCTATATAAAGAGGACTGGCTCCATTCTTTTCATATCAATTGATGTCGGCACCGTTGTTCAGTAACAGTTTTACCGTGCTATCATGTCCATTTTGACAAGCTATATAAAGAGGACTGGCTCCATTCTTCTCACATAAATTGATGTCGGCACCGTTGTTCAGTAACAGTTGTACCGTGCTATCATGTCCATTTTGACAAGCTATATAAAGAGGACTGGCTCCATTCTTCTCACATAAATTGATGTCGGCACCGTTGTTCAGTAACAGTTGTACCGTGCTATCATGTCCATTTTGACAAGCTATATAAAGAGGACTGACTCCATTCTTCTCACATAAATTGATGTCGGCACCGTTGTTCAGTAACAGTTGTACCGTGCTATCATGTCCATTTTGACAAGCTATATAAAGAGGACTTGCTCCATTCTTCTCACATAAATTGATGTCGGCACCGTTGTTCAGTAACAGTTGTACCGTGCTATCATGTCCATTTTGACAAGCTATATAAAGAGGACTGGCTCCATTCTTCTCACATAAATTGATGTCGGCACCGTTGTTCAGTAACAGTTGTACCGTGCTATCATGTCCATTTTGACAAGCTATATTAAGAGGACTGACTCCATTCTTCTCACATAAATTTATTTCAGCACCGTTGTTCAGTAACAGTTGTACCGTGCTATCATGTCCATTTTGACAAGCTATATAAAGAGGACTGGCTCCATTCTTCTCACATAAATTGATGTCGGCACCGTTGCTCAGTAACAGCTGTACCGTGCTATCATGTCCATTTTGACAAGCTATAAAAAGAGGACTGGCTCCATTCTTATTACGTAAATTGATGTCGGCACCATTGTTCAGTAACAGTTGTACCGTGCTATCATGTCCATTTTGACAAGCTATATAAAGAGGACTGAATCCATTCTTCTCACATAAATTGATGTCGGCACCGTTGTTCAGTAACAGTTGTACCGTGCTATCATGTCCATTTTGACAAGCTATATAAAGAGGACTGCATCCATCATTATTACATAAATTGATGTCGGCACCGTTGTTCAGTAACAGTTGTACCGTGCTATCATGTCCATTTTGACAAGCTATATAAAGAGGACTGAATCCATTCTTCTCACATAAATGGATGTCGGCACCGTTGTTCAGTAACAGTTGTACCGTGCTATCATGTCCATTTTGACAAGCTATATAAAGAGGACTGGTTCCATCATTATCACATAAATTGATGTCGGCACCGTTGTTCAGTAACAGTTGTACCGTGCTATCATGTCCATTTTGACAAGCTATATAAAGAGGACTGTCTCCATCATTATCACATAAATTGATGTCGGCACCGTTGTTCAGTAACAGTTGTACCGTGCTATCATGTCCATTTTGACAAGCTATATAAAGAGGACTGTGTCCATCATTATCACATAAATTGATGCCGGCACCGTTGTTCAGTAACAGTTGTACCGTGCTATCATGTCCATTTTGACAAGCTATATAAAGAGGACTGGCTCCATTCTTCTCACATAAATTGATGTCGGCACCGTTGTTCAGTAACAGTTGTACCGTGCTATCATGTCCATTTTGACAAGCTATATAAAGAGGACTGGTTCCATTATTATTACATAAATTGATGTCGGCACCGTTGTTCAGTAACAGTTGTACCGTGCTATCACGTCCCCTATAACAAGCCATAGAAAGAGGACTGTCTCTATTCTCAGTATCATATGAATTGATTTCATCACCGTTGTTCAATAAGCAAATAATTGTGTTCTTACGTCTCTCTCCAGTTTTTGTTTCGATTCCGGCCTCTTTGATATGATCTTCATCATTTGCAGCAGCGAGAGATAACGGACTCCACCAACCTTTTGTTAACTTGTTAACGTCAGCACCAAGTCTTACTAACTCTTCAAGTATTGAAAAATTATGAAAAATCGAAGCAACATGAATTGGTAAAAGGTCATCCCATATTTCCATCATTCCTGATTTTTTATATTCTTCACTGAGAGAATTTAATAGGTTTAAATCACCATTCGCACATATAGCAGAAAATATAGGATGTTCTTTCAACTTTGTTTCAGGTATACTTTTCATGAAAAATAAAGAAATATCAGTATGACAAAATACAATAAATCCGACTAAAGGACATATTTCACTTTTAAATGAATAAAGGAAATCAAGTCTTGTGAAAAAAGATCTTTCAAATAATTTTTGAAATTCCGTTTTGTCTACTTCACATTTAATTTTTACAAGAAGCTTTTCGGACGAATCCACTTTTTCCTTAAAAGAATTGATCACACTCTCTTTCCTTAAGCATGGATTGAGTAGAACATCTACAATATGTTCTGTTTGCATGTCAATGATTAACCTGTCCACAAGATCATCAATGTACTCTTCAGGAAGGTAAACAGTGAAGGGATCGCGATCTTCCTCTTCTGTATCGTCTTCTATCCTTACCCGACGTCTCAGAAAACCACTGTCTGCGTACTGTATTGTCTCTTGTGGACAATCAACACCAAACACCAGAGTCGTTATCTCCATAATAAAGTCGTGAAGGAATTGGAAAGCATTTCCGACACGTTTGACATAAGATCCTTTCAATTCATGTAGAGTACTACGAATGACTGAAATATGTGTGTTTTCTTGTAACTCACACATACCTAAAATTTCTTTGAATTTCATCAAAGAAATATCATTTTTTACAATAGCATCGATTTTCAAATTGTTTTTAAAAGCCACTATCAAGATAAGTGAGCAAAATCTTTTCTTGTCTGTTTTCTTCCAAACTTCAATTTCCTTTTTAATAAATTTGTACGGATTTTTAAAGAAATCGACCCCCTTTTCTTTGTAGTTCGCCTCCCTTGAATAAAGCTTACAAAGCAATGGGAAGTAAGCTTCGTTTTTAATTATTTCAGTAACAACCTCCTCGGATAAATGAAGATTCTGTGAATACTGATTGAAAATCGCTCTTTTCTCTTTAACAGTCAGTCCATTTTTTTCGCTGTCAATTTCTACTGCAGTAGATTCGTCCAATAAGTTACCCTTGACTCTTTTGTCATAAAAGACACATCTTCTACATGATATCAACAATTTATTCTTCTTCAAGCAAATTTCCAGCGTTTTCTCTAAACATTTCCATGAATGATATAAAATTTCATCTAACGATTCCTTACCTAAAGGATCATTGAATACAAATAATATGCGATTTTCTGAGACTCCAGTTGAACAGATCTTTTTAATTTCTTCCACCTTATCCACCGGTAGGACATCCCATCCCTGCTCTTTGAGAATAAGTGCAATATGTTGAATTATTGCAGATTTTCCAGATCCAGAATTTCCAACAACTGTGATTAGGTTGAGGCTTTTAAGCTTTTCTTGAACCGCTTCACTTGCTCTTGTAGGAATGAAGGCAATGTCGTCTTCTCGCCAATTGTCCAGAATCTCTTTTACCAGAGTGTTTTCTGAAAAAGAATTTTTTTTAAGATAATAAGTATAAAAACAGAAAATAAGAAATTGTTAAATCAAATTGTATTTTTTTGTAAAACTGTATAATTGTCCACTAAGATTGTGCTCTTAAATTCATCTGAATCTGAATTAAGTATTGAAAAATACTGTTGCATTGTTTTTTGTGAATGCAACATATATTTACTACAAGAAAGTATGTAATTTAAAGTATTCAGATAAAAGAAAGGAATGTATGTACAGTCTTTAAGTTGTGGTTTATGGTGAAGTACAAATAAAAACTATAAAAAGGATTTTCATGCCATATAACAGAAAAAAAAGAGTATGGGGTTATTATCTAATGCAAACAAAAAAATATAAAATTGGATTGCAGGTAAGTTTTTTGTACGGTAATTCTTACGGTAATTCAAGTGTTTCACATAGAAAGAATGCAGTTAATCAGCCTATTGTTTTACATAGACATAAATGCAGTTACTCGACCTATTATACTTAAAATTTGAATTCACTTTGGAAAAAAAATTGTTAACTTACAAACATGATAAATTTGCTCTTTTTTTACCCTAGTTCATTCAAAAATATACAAGAGAAACGGATAAATGGCTGTCAGGGATTCCACGATTTTTGATGAATGCAACTTTACATAGACAAGTATAAGATTTATCTAGAGTGAATGTTGCACATGTTAAAAAAAGATTATATGAAGTGAAAGACCTACAACGTGGAAAGTCTGACTCTATATCTAGTGGTAGACTAAGTTTTATAAGTATATGAAAATATGCGGAGAAAATCTTCCTCTACGATTACAGCATGGTTCCTAGAAAAAGAGGTCTTCTCAGTTTCAACACTGGCATGTAACGATATATATGCAGGTCTTATGTTTAGTAGTTCGAGTACATCGAGAACTCTCATAGATGGAATTTTAAAAAAATGTTAAGGCTCTATCCCCGATAACAAGGCAGACATTTTTACATTTATTCGATCATAGTTTGCACCGTAGTACTAACGTTTCGTAGGTATCATTGAGATTTTTTTGCTTAGCCAACTTTTGTTCAAAATGAAGAATCTTAAGGAAACATATTCCACATAACTAATATTGAGAAATGTATTTGTCCAATTTATGAGAGCATGAGACATTAGTCTCCGCTATATATCGTATATAACGTATAAGTGGAATTTTTAATCTGACACTAATTTTGCGATTTGTCCTTAAAATATGGAAATTTGTTTAAGCGAGATGTAATTTTAGCGATTTTTAAAAAAACACACTAAAGAAGTTATCACAAATAAAGCACAGTTGCTTATTAGTGATTTTCAATTTCAGCGATCTTGGTACCCTCGCTAACAATGCCAAAATTACATCCTCGTAAAAAATTCTGTTTATACAGTAGTAAATATTTTAATAACAGTATTTATTATAGTCACCTTTGTCTTCAGATTTTCTTTTCAATTCCTGCAAATCCTTTTCCACAGAAGATAACTTTTCCATTAGAGATTGGTTATTCTTGTAATCTTCCCTAAGTTTTTTTAAGACTGTTATTTCGTACTCCTCTTCTAAAGCCTGATATTGAATATTACTCAGTCCAGACATGTAGTCTTTGTTTGTGTACGTTTGCAGTCTTTGGCAGATATCAGTTATGATTGACCACGTGTCGTCAAAATCTGTCTGTGAGGTAGAAGCCGAGCTAATGTGTCCAAACATGCTGTTTCTTATCATCCTGATCCTTTCTACGTCATCGCCGATAGTTATTTCTCCTACTGACGGCATCGTGTTTCCACCCCAACCTTTTGTTGGACAAGGAATCTTTGTACATATATTTCTTATCAGTGTATATAACAACGTAATATCAAATTCTTTATAACCATTAGTTTTTGCGCCTATAAGACGACGTTCTTGCTCGGGACGTATGTTTTTATAAATCGATGATGCCTTCACTTTGTTGTAAACAAGACCAGGAGGTACCTCCATTTCAAAGACATCTCTAGAGGCCTGGGTCAATTCTTCGTTAATTGCCATTCCGAGTTTAGCAAACCTGGAACGGCCGCCAGGGTCTGGTCCAGAAGCCATTCTTTGATTCCTTTCAGTTAATACTCTGAAATGACAGTGCAATGCTGTATTGATTTTCGAAATTAATGACAATCTTTTACGGTACCAATTTTAATGCACCAGTTGCCCATTCAGACAAATTTTGTCTCTTTGCTGATGCTCATGTCGAAACTTTCGAAAACAGATATATCTGAATTTAAAAAGGAAAGCTTTCAAGAACTATACAAATTCAAGGGGGATTCAGCTGATTTTTTTTTGTCAAGGTCAGCTGTTTTTCATTTGGTCTTTTTATAAGATATTGAGATAACAAACAGTATTCTAGCCTTAAATTAAAAAAAACACACACACAACCCACAAATGAGGTAGAGGACAAACTCAGACCCCCAAGAGGAGGAAATGGAGATAACGAAAAGTATTCAATATCAAAGTCCATAAAACAATACACAGCAGGATCAGAGCAAACACGGACCTCCCAAACATCAGACGTCTGATCAGATGCCACGGAGGATTAAGAATCCCCTGCCGACCGGTCACACCCGTCGTGTGCTACTTGTCATAATCGGGAAATAACACGAAAATCCGTCGTCAATTTAATGTACAAATAATCGACTAACAACTGGACTAAGTATGAAATTTGACTTAATGATATATTGTATTTGCTGATTTGATTTTGAATTTTGAATTTTCACAAAGTGAGCAATGCACATAAAATTCATTATTAGAACCAGATGTTATCAAAACTTTAAAAAATACTCTTCAGTATTCAACAATAATGTGCTTAAATACGGAAGGAAATAGGATGAAGTTCTACTCAGTATCAATATACAGGGAAAACACATATAGGATATATCCGTTGGAAATTCAAATTTTAATGACAAGGAAGAAACCCAGTTTAACAGTTTAACCCAGCTTCACAAGCAAACTTTTAATTTGTCTTAGAATACTTATTGGCATGTTTTAGTAATCCTTTCCAAAATAATTTTTTTCAAGCAAAAATCAAGTGTTAACAATATGTTTTACAATTTTTTTTTTAACATTTGCACAATTTGTTTGAAAAGAATCAGGATTTTATCAATATTTTTTTGTTTTCAAATCAGTCAGCAACTTGTGCGTGTATGATAAGATGAAGAAAAGTCTTGTTGTGATATTCAACCAGATATTCAGGTATTATCAATAAATAAAATTCAAGTAGTGGTATAAAAACTTTTAACTTTTCCCTTTGTAAATCCGAAAAAAAATTATGAATTATAAGAAATAACTTAAGATTTTTCACTTAATTGATTGAAATGGTTATAAATAAACCTTTCAATAAATGTATTTAAGGCAGATTACATGTTTAAAACTTTGAATTGTTCACAAATAAAGGAGCTATACTCTTAGAATTCATCATCGAATAAAGGGTCATTGAATACTGTTCGTTATCTCTACATCCTTCATCACAGGTAGCATCAGGTGCCATGGAGGAATGAACATCCCCTGCTGACCGGTCACACCGGAACAGGCTGCTGAAAAATGATTAAATGTTAAAGGAAATTCAACAAACACGTTTAAAGTCAGCATTTCTTCATTTTTATTGTCGGTGTATTGTCTTTGTTAGCAAATATCATTTTTCATATTTTGGCTGAATACTTCATAGCAATTTTTAAATTGATTTAACACTATTTTCAGTACTACTAAAATAATGGAGATCATGGTGATTTTGTGTATGAATACCCAACGCATAAGGAAGGAAATTCATTGTATTCTCAGTTTTACTAAGCTTTCATAAAGAAATCTTTATTTCACATGCATAAAAATCAACTCAGGAAAAGTCATTTCCGGAGCAAATTTTGAGAATTTATGTTTTCAAAGAAGAAAATCAGATGAACTTGGAAATTGTCCTTTTTTATATTTTGAATTATTTTTGTATGATTTTATATGTACAATATTTATTTGAAGTTTTGTAAAAAAAAATGTACAATCAATAAACATCTTTTTAAAAAGCTTAGAAAACGGAGTTCAGGAAATATTAGTTGTGTGGTCGGGTGTCTAAGAGTAATAAGTATCCCAAAGGTTCAGACACACCTGACTTGAGACCTGTGTATTTTTCTTTTTTAGTTTTTTTTTGGATAAACAGAATAATCCTTAATAGAATTGTTCTTAAAAATCAAATCCTATTGCTATGTCTTTTAATTCAACATTTAAATACATCTACGATGCATAGGCGTCGGAACCGGGGGGGGGGGGGGGGGGGGGGGGGGGGGGTTAGCCCCCTATTTTTTTTCCAAACATATACTTAGTATAGACTTACCCCCACTTTTTTCCAAATATATACTTCGTATAGACATTGAACATTGCTTCGTAGGTGTAGCCCCACCCCACTTTCCAGACATGTAGCAGAATAGTTGAAAATAGGGGAAAAGGTAGTGTTTACAAATAAATTTTTTGGCACTGAAGTTGGACCCCCCCCCCCCACGAAAAGGATTTTCGTGATTGGGAAATTGACATTTCCTTTTCTTTTTTTTGTTCCTCATTTTTTCTTGTGAGGTTTGTTTGAGGTGTGTTTTTTTTTTACACCTAGCCCCCCCTTTCAATTTGCTTCCGACGCCAATGATGCATGCCAAAGATAGGGTGTCCCAATAGATTCCTTGCAATATAGTATCAGTGCGTTCGAAACAACACGTAAGCGCATTAATGACAACGCGCTAGCGCGCTAACATGCAAACGCGTCAATATTAATGCGCTTGCATGTTGTTTCTTACAACGCGCCATCGCGTTGTCATTTGAGGGCTAGCGTGAAGTCATAAACGCACTTGCAAGTTTTTTTTTATAAAGCGCTTATATCTTGAAAAGTAAATACAAAGCCAATTTTAACATTTTACACAATGAAAGGTGTATAATAGTGTACTGCTTAAATCTGAAAGATTTTTGAGCATCCTGACCTTTGCAACGGTCCTATCGGGACACCGTACAAAAAGACTTATATATGTTTCATAAATCTAGAAAAATATATACAAGTACAATCTAGCATATCGCATATAAGTTTCCAGTACTTTTCATGTTATGAAAATTTATAATTTCTTAAAAGTGTAGCTTTTTCAACTAGTATTATGTCTATAATATTTTTTTTGCATTTTGATACTTAATTTAGGCATATTTTTAAACCTTCTGTCAAAAATGTTTTGTTTAACGATAAGTATTATTATATTGTGTGATTTATACATGTTTTTATTTTTGAATTTCCCATACAGTATATCCTTTCTATGAAAATGAGTAATAAAATGATTTTTTTTATGAACAATTCATCAATGTGACACCATATTTTTTTTTTTTTACACAGAAACGTTAACACTCAAAAAACAATTGTTTCAACTTCTTGTTCACAAAATCGGCAAAGGTTAGGTTATCTTTGTATAAATCTTGAAAAGTAAATACAAAGCCAATACCTACTCAAAAGTAACATTTTACACACTGAAAGGTGTATAATAGTGTACTGCTTAAATCTGTAGCTTAATATTAGAAAGATTTTTGAGGAAATCTGTACGTGAACCCATGTATTTTCTAAATCCCATCCTGTTTTATTGAAAACTATGAAAGTCATAGTTTTCAAAAGTCTAGGCAGTCAAAATACAGCAAACCAGCCTACAGTTGTCTTCAATAATTTCTGAATACGTAAACTTATAGATTCTTATGATAGATACGCTTATTTAAAATCTTAAGTATTTTGTCAAAAACAAGGAAGTTAATGAAGTTTTGTTTCTATTTTTGTTTCAGCCAATCACAGTGAAGCGCAAGTGTTCTTGATAATTTGACATGATCCCACCTCTTATATTTTTGTTTATATCAATTTTGCTTATATTTTAGCGATTAATGTGTAGCTTGGGCGCTTTGTTCCCTGTGCCTCTTGTCAGGGATTAAAAGTATACTCTAAACGATCAATTTAATGCCTCTATTAAGAAAAAGTGAACTTTTTCGGACCCTTTCGGATGTAATTGTAAAAGTGTTTGTGTTTGGAGGGCGGGGATAATTCAAGTAATTTTTTTAAGCCGTTAGTTTGCACAGCACAAGGGATTTTATCCTTTCTAATGATGATTAGATGTATGCTGAAATGGTTAAAGAGATCTCAAAATACATGTTATTTGACCAGAAGAATTCTATTCACAAGATACCTACCGGTGCCCGATATTTAAGTTTTATGTGTAAAGTTTGACTGCAGAAAAAAGATCTTTTTAAACTCTCACCAAATTGGTTCTTTCAATTTGATATGAAGAGAGAGAGAGAGAGAGAGAGAGAGAGAGAGAGAGAGAGAGAGAGAGAGAGAGAGAGAGAGAGAGAGAGAGAGAGAGAGAGAGAGAGAGAAAGATAAATGATACATTGTACAGTCAATTGGGTATAAAACAAAGACCTTCATTTAATTATGAAACAAGTGAGCCAAAATAGGAGCCAATGACAGGAAGATATAAACACAATAAGCAGGTGATGGTTGAATATCAATCTATAAATAAGGACAGTTGTTCATGAAAAAGCTAGAGTTACTTCGACTGGCATAAAATTCCGTTATGATTTGGCTCTATCATCTGTAAACATTCCAAATTTAAATAGTAAAATGATAAATAAAGTAACTCACCTCAGACTACGATATATGTCTCCTTTGCATCATTATTATATAATGGTATGGCAGATAGCACGTCCATGGGATTCAAAGTAAAATGAATTAAACTATACCGAAGTTAACTTTACCGAACAAAAAAACAACCGCACAACTAAAAACATGAGTATTTTGCTGCGGCAATAAGACTGTGCCTCGATATTTTGATTTTCCTACAACTACATGTATATGTTAAGTACTATTTCCTTGTACTTTGTCACGTGATGTTTTTACTGATTATTGTGCATATGTAGAGTGAAATTATATTTATAGTTGTCTCTCTTAGTCTCTCTTACTTTTGCATCATACCTTTCTTTGTTCTTTACCCCTGACTTTCTTGCCTCTTCAGATGCTAGTGAATATGCACATTCATTCCCTGGATCAAGTCCGAGGAAAGAATCTGTAGGAAATCTTGGACTCCATCCATCATCAAGTAGTGTGGGAAAAAACCTTTTGCGTCACTCTTTGTAGCGTTGTATGCCTGAACCGAGGGAGCAACATGTTGTTTCCAGTCTGTCTTCTGTATGGGATCCAAGGCACCTAGCATCTTCAAGGGTGTTTGGTTTAACCTCTCCACCGATCCATTGCCCATAGGATGGTATAATTGTGTCATACAGGTTTTTCTAATTTCTAACAGCTTATAGAGCTCATTTATAACTCTGGACTCAAAATTCCTGCCCTTGCCACTGTGCAGCTTTTCTGAAAATCCATAATGTAAGAAAAAATTCTCATATAAGGCTTTAGCTGTGACGGTAGCCTTCTGGTTGCAGCATGGTATGGCCTGTGCAAAACGTGTATAATGGTCAGTAATAGCCAATATAGCTTTGGTCCCTCCTTTACTTCTCTCTTGACTCAAAAACTCAATACATAACAATTCCATTGGATGTGAGGTCTCAATGAGAACTAACTAAGCAACGGGCTTTGCTTGAGTCTTACGTCTTATGCACCTAGGGCAATTTTCTATTTTCTCCATTATCTCCCTTTCCAACCCTGGCCAAAAATACCTTTGCCTAGCTAACCACAATGTCTTTTCCTTCCCAGGATGGCCTGTATCTCTGTGAATACCTTGGAAAGCTACCTCTCTATACACCTCAGGTATTACAAGCTGGCTTACCTCTTTGTCATTTATAATTGCCTACCTGTAGAGAATTCCATCTTTAAAGTGAAGTGTTTTCCATTCCCGGAAAAATCTCTGAACTGAATAATGATACTCTTTCTTCATCTTCACTCTATTGGGATAAAATGCATGCTTCTTAATAACTCTGGCTTAATCCTTGTTCTTCTCCAGTTCTCTTCTCCAGTTAATGTCACCAAGATAATGGGATTCTTCATCCTCAAAACTAGCTGAATCTAATAAAGAGTCAACTATAATAGTCTGGCAATATGGAACATCACATAATACCGCCTGACATGTGGCCTTAATAGCATCAGAAGAGAACTGGCTTTCTAGACAACCCATCTGCATCAGCATTCTGCTGACAAGGTCTGTATGCTATAGTAGAATCACAGCCTGCTAAAGCAGCAACCCACCTTTGGCTAGTAGCATCTAGCTTGGCTTTAGAGAGCACATAGGTTAGGGGTTTATTATCAGTGATCACTTGAAAAGAAGTATCATGTCCTTGAAGTAACGCGTTTAATGGAGCTACTATCTTAGCAAAATGTTCAATGAAGCGTCGATAGTATCCCACAAATACATCTTAGGAGTTGTTTGATGTTGGAAGGTGTCGGACAATCACGAACAGCGGATAAATTCTCTTGGTGTGTTTGGATACCACTTTCTGAAATTACATGTCCTAAATAAGTAACAGAAGTTTTGAATAATTCGCATTTTGATGGCTTAAATTTTAATCCATGTTGAGCTAATTTGGTAAACACATTTTTAAGTCTAACACAATGCTCTTAGAAAGTTTTTGAAAATATGAGCAAAAAGATTAAACATTCTTTCAAATGCATATCTCCCATGCACTTCTCCGTCAATCTTTGGAAAGTTGCAGGAGCACATTAATCCAAAGCTTATTCAATTGCACTTATTGAAGCCTAAATTACCTTCCAAAAATGCTGATTTGTGCCGACCTTTCTCCTCAATTTCTACCTGCCAATAGCTTGATCGTAGGTCGAGTTTGTTGAAAAACTTGGCTCCATACAGGGCATCTATGACGTCATCAAACCGAGGAAGCATATAGCAATCCTTGCGCGTTTTTGGAGTTCACCATTCATATGTCAAGACAAAACCGCTATGATCCGTCTGTTTTCCGACACAGTACCACGTTTAAGGAAAAATTGCTATTCGATTTGCTAATAACTCCGGCATCTAACATCTCACGCACGTGTTGGCGGACTTCCTCATACATTCCCGGAGGAATTCTGCGATATTGTTGTTTAAGCGGTTTTGTGTCCTCTGATTCTATCGAATGTTTGACTAGATCAGTTCTACCATGATTTAATAGACCTGTGGAAAATATGTGACTGTACTTTTTTAAAGTATTTCTCACAGTATTGAAATGATCTTCAGTAAGTTCACTTGAGTCAACCTTAATCTACAAGTTCAATAGGGTCACACACTTTAGATTTGGGTTTTAATGCAGGAAAATTATCTACCACCTTAACCTCTTTAAGATTGCAGACTTTAAGTACAGTGCCATGCCTAACTGATATGGGTTTGGCAGATATATTACAAACCTTGACTTGTACTTTAGACTTTTAGTAGGTGTAGAACACTTAACTACCCTTGGACAAACTGTAAACCTGTCCATATTATCACAGTTTTCAGAAACCATTGTCATGTTGTTAACCTGTAAACCTCTAACACGGCCCTTAACTACAGTAGATTCATTAGGTTGTACCATAATAGGTTTCTTACATACTGATTAGACATGGTAACACTTACCCTTCATACTCCTTAATGCTACTCTCCATTCTTTTGGAGCTATTTTCATTTCATTGGAATCTTCACCCAACAAATCTCTACAAATTCTCAACACATTAGTTCCAATGATCACAGGACATGTTCTATTGAAATCAGTGTCTGGTACAATTAAAACAGGGACAAATAACTCTACATCCATAAATGGAATTTTTACAGTACACTCTATATATCCCTTGTATTTCAATAGAGAACCATCTGCGACAGACACCTCTAACCCTAAGTTAGATAAATCCTTTAACTCTGGTTGATTTTTCATGGAATTGTAACCTGAAAATGACAATGAATGTTGTTACCATTGATCCACTGTCAACAAGACCTGTAAAAGAATTATCATTCGTAAAAACAATAGTCTCATTTGACTCACCAATCATTTTGCATTTTAGTTAATGGCCTTCTCTCGTATGAAATTCTGGTCCCCGGTCGGCCTTCATGAAGGATATGGAAATAACGAACAGTATTCAATCTCAACGTCCATTAAACAAATATACAAAATAAGAGCAGAGCAAACACGGACCTCCGAAACATCAGAGGTGGGATCAGGTGCCATGGAGGAGTGAGCATCCCCTGCCGACCGGTCACACCCGCCGTGTGCTCGTTGTCATAATCAGGAAATAACGGAAAAAATCCTTGGTCAATTCAGTGTATAAATAATGGACTATCAATATTAATTGGTGTGAAAAACGTCAGTCAGCATTTCATTCAATGATAAATTGTATTTGCTGACAAGGTCATTGTGTCGACCACAGAGACCTCTAGGCGTTTGGGTTATAATCACCTGTATTTCCTCCTTGACCCCGTCCCTGACCTTGACCTCGACCTGCATTCATCCTTCTGTCATTAGAATTACTTCGATACTGATTCGAGTTGCCTCTCCAAGCTCCACCTCTACATGTGTGTCTGATACATTACTAGTTCTACCATCCGATTTCTCTAGTATCTGGTTGAACTTGTCATTTATCTTATCTTCTAATTTTGTCTCCATGTTGCAGGGGTGGTTTATATGTAGGATGTAATAACAACCCAACTCCTGTCTAAGGGTTCATATATGTTTAATATAGATGTTCATCAAGTAAATGAATGAATGGCCCTATAAAATAAAACAATAACAATGAATATCACATGAAATAATAACAAATGTATACATATATTCTATTTTACCTATTTTGATATACAAAAGATAAATTTAACAGTTAAGAGTTATCTCTCTTAATTTAAATATTTAGCATATAAATGAATCACTGTACAGTTAATCTTTACACACATATTTTACAATCACATTTCAATTAATGCAATGATATAATATTATTACTTTAAAATATATACAAAAGGTAACATATGCTAATTACCTATCTATGGGACAAGGCCCATTCCTTAAAACACCAAAAACTACTGGATGCTTCAGCTTACATATCTAATAAGAAATACTTTAAACTGTACTATATATAATACAATACTCATGATTCTAATAAATATATTCTCTGAGATGATAAACTGAAGATTAAGCTTTAATTCATTATTTATAACTTTCACTCTTCTTTTAAACAGTGATATTAGCTAAATAAAGGTATTATAAAGATAAATAATGTTAATAAAGTAAATACTTACTTCCAGGTCTGTTTTAAAGGTCTCAAGTCATGAAAGTCTTTAAAATTCTTTGTCTAAACAACTTTGTAAATCTACACAGCCAACCTGACCAAAACCTCTGAGTAGTCTAACTAAAGCAACTGAAAACAACTCAGAACCACAACCAATAAAAAGACAGAACCCCAAGAGAATGACCTTGAACTTTATCGCTCACAAGTATTTGTAAAGGGGTGGATCTAAGTTTTATATTAAACTCAATTTCATTTACCTGGTATATCAATAATACACCTATTTATTCCATATTGTATATTTCATAATATATACAATTAAAAACACACTGCTACATTCTTCCCCTCCTCCGAAAAATGACGTCCTCGTCATTCTCATACGAAGAATGTAAAATTAAAAATCATATTAAAATCATGCTGAAATTTACAAATTTAAGTTTTCTTTACAATATCAAGTAAAGTTTTTAAAATCTCACCTCGTTCAAATCCTTCACAGCGCTCGTCCTGCAAGATGTTCTGTAGCAATGTTACTTTCCAATGCGGATCAATAGCCTGTTGTACTCGAACATACTCTCCACTCCTTAACCAATCTGGCTCTCTTCTAGCCCTGGTTGATCTGCGTGGAGCAGCAATAGGTGAACTTATATCATCTGGTTCTGGTTGAACTTCATCTG